GGGCGGAGCTCATTGCGGGCTCCCGCCCTGGCCCTCGCACCTGAAGTTAATCACACACCTGTGGCTCATCGCCTAAACTCATCCACTACTTAAAGCAGTGGTTGGAAACATCTCGTTGCTGAACTATTGAGTAACCTCAGTAGTAAGCTCCGGAGTACTAGTCTCTTGTTGCCTTTTCGTATCGCTGACCCTTTGGATTAATCCCTAGTTGTCTGTAAACAGGAATTCCGTTTCCCTGAAGCCTTGGTGTGCGGGCTTGCTGGTGTGCTGTGTTTTTTGTGAAGTCCCTCGTGTGTAAAGAGCTCCTTTCCCAGATTTCCCTGTGCCCTGGATTCCCCCCGCCCTCTCACTTGTATATCTTTGCACCTGGTGTTGTATAGTAAGCTGCCTTGTCTGCGCTTGAGTCCATCCCACTTCGTGACACCTTGAGGCAATTGTTGTTGTGATTTAGCGCTATATAAATAACATTGAACTGAAATGAAGTAAATATCCAATCGGTTGTCGCAAAATGTTGCAGCATCACCTGATCCTGTCAGTAATCATCTGTGTTTTTCTTTTAGTTTGTTGCCTATCTGTTTCTTGGTACTTGCTAGAAGGCATAGTAACTAACAATCGCGCACACATTCACATAAATGCATTAAGGGCAACTCAGTTTCAGTATCTTGCCCAAAGATATTTGGACATGCCTACTGTAGTAGCTGGACACTTAACCCCTCAGTGGTAGATGACCAGTTCTACCAGTAGTTAATGCCTATAGAGTGCAGCCCTCAGACTCTGGGATGCGAGGTAGAGCAGGTCATCTACTGATTGGACGGTTAGAGGTTCAGTCCCTGGAGGCACCAGGCTGCATGTCAAATATCCTTGGGCAAGATACCACCCCCAGGTTGCTCTTATGCATGTATCAGAGTATGAATATGTTTTTCTGATAGATGGAGCATGGCTGTCTGTGGAGAAACACACTACACAATTTTGAAACCCGAATGAAAACTTGTCCGAGGACTTTAAAGGATTTGAGGAGCGGATCTAGAACTCTGTATTAAATGGCTCCTCTGTTGTTTATTATGAGCATAGGCACTTCATAACATGCAACTTACATTTCATACATGATAAATGCAGTCTATGCACAAACACAAGTCAGACATATGCAACAAGAACACCCAGCTTATTTTAAACTAGTGGCTGAGGCAGGCAAAGGTGTCAGTGCTATACCGCCCTAAACCGGGACACATCTGACAACATTCGATCTCTGCTTTGGAGTTTGCATGGATACGGTGTGTGCATTCCTTCACCACCAGGAGAGGAAATCCTATAAAAACATGCATCAGCACATAATCAAGCAAGACTGCTGTTGTAAAGGCTAAAGGCTACAGATTGTTTGAGCATTCATCTTCACAGACACTACATCAAAAACAAGCTATAATTCTGTCAAGTCAGAGTTATTTAAAAAAACATATAAAATTTTCACATGTGGCTGAGAGCGAAAGTAATATTCAAAGGCCTCGTTATGTTGTATTTGTGTAATAAGTGATATAAAGGGGCACTCTGGTGATTTGGCTTTTCATCTCCATAAGTCAACTTGCAAGGGTCATATTTAAAAGACTGAAATTGCTACAATGTATCTGTTAGTATTGGTGAA